TATTGTTGGAGGTACAATACATTTCACTTGCCGAGTGTGTTCGTCACTTCATTCTTGTTTTTCATAAACCAGCCTGATCGATAGCTGCTTGCAAATCGCAATGACCCAACAGGCTAAACTAACCGGAACTATTGTTCCTGCAGGTCCTACCTACCATGCTAGGAAGGTTGTTAGGATAGCGATTAGAATAAAAGCAGTTACCGGCATTGAGTAGTAAGAACTTTCTTTTTACAATATGCTGAGGGTCTGTGGACGAAGTCGCACTGCCGTTGGGGAAAAGGGATGTAACAGCAGTAAGGTGTTTCCCTCAGATGACCAGCATGCCTTCTCTCCACTCTGGAGAGAGAGGGTTAGAAAAGATCGACCTCAACAATTGAACATCCCGACTTAACCTAAGGTGGTCCCCGCAACCGACGGTAAGCTTACTAATAAGGCACCGAACCAAGAAACCAAATCATATAGGCTCTGAGTGACAGGCCTCAAGCAGTTGTCCCCTGAACACTGCGGTCAGGTTACACTAACCCTCTTTCTGTTTCAAGTACCTGAAGAATCAATCAACTTCTACGTTATGGGCAGCCGGGAAGTAAAAACCGCCCAAGAGCACACAAAGCCTCCTCGTGCATCATTCTCCTTTTCATAACCAGAAAAGTATCATCCATATATCAACAGTAAAAATTCTAACTTATGAATTACTCCTTTCAGTTGTCCATTCTCTAACTTAACAAGGAAAAAATTAACTAGGATTGGACCTTATGAGGAGCCCATAGCCACACTCCTATCGCAGTTTGTCTGTATTATTCCTTATTGTGAATAAGAAGTGAACATTCACTGTACACCATAAAATAAGTTCCTTCAAGAAGGATACAGAAATGCCGATGTCTATGTTTCGCTTAGTAGTCCCATTGTAACAACAGAAGACAAGGGCTGGCAACAGATCGTTTTATTACGAAAATCACACGTATTTATATATATTTTATATGCATTATGCAATGGTAGAAAACCACGATTACCGGTACACAATGAGACCTGGCCCATGCACCAAAAGTGGAGTACGACGAAATTAAAAGCAGAGAGGAAAGAGGCAGTCAAGAATGTAATACGGAAGCAGCGCAGTGATGTCACGAAGTCTCAGATGAAAGAAAGGACGCAGTACATTACCTTTGCAGTCGGGGACCAAGTGAAGTGTAGAGACAGGAGATATACAGTTGGAGGCGGGCTAGGTTCACGGAAACTCCTTCCAAAGTGGGAAGGACCATACACAATCACAAAAAGACGGGGTCAGGTATATACCATCCGAAGAGGTGATAAATAGAAACGAGTTAACGCCAGTCAGCTCCAAAGATGGGTACAGTGGGACAAGCCGGTCAGTAACAATCCTCAACTAGAGGATGTAGCACCCAGAAGGTCGGAACGTCTGCGCACAAAGCTATTTGAAGGGGGGACGAGTGTGGTGAGAGCAGGCTGCTAGCCGATTGGTTGGCACTAATCTACGTTAATTTCTAGGTCACTAATATGGGCCGTGAGAAAATATGAACAAGGCTGTTTCAACAACCAATCACAGCAAACTTAAGTGTGGACAAATATTATTCGCAGATAGATGGCTCTACTTTCCGAGAAATATCGAAAACAACCAATCATAAGACTGTGTTTGTCTGCTTAACTTCCGAGAAACAACCAATCAGAAGACTGCCTTTTTCTACTTGCATAAGCCTTATTAATGCATATAAAATATATATAAATACGTGTTGATTTTCGTAATAAAACGATCTGTTGCCAGCCCTTGTCTTCTGTTGTTACACCATCATATATATATTTCCCAGTCTCAATCTACTGTACACCAATGAATAAGATGGATATATCAAAATATATTTAAATCTCCTATTCTTTCACAAATTCAAAGCTACCATTTTTACGCCAAGCCTCACGAGTTCATCATCACACAGAAGTTGTGAAAGTTTCCACCGACCACTTAGCTGTTGGGTGATACGTGAAATAAGATATATATCCAAGAATGACTGAAGTAGTGAACAATTTTCATGCCTTTTTTTCGGCAGTCCATTTCAATCTTGGTGTGACGGTATCCGTAGACTATCCGTAGTAATCTGGTTCAACCCCCAGCCATGACTCAATCAGTGGTTTTTAAGTCGTTTCAGCCGGATCAGTAAAAGTTATTGCTAACAACAAAAACATATCACCTCTAGACTGTCTGTTTTCGACGTGGAATTTTTAACCAATGTGCACCAGTTCAAGTCGCCACACTCCCTCCATGTAGCACACAAACCAAGAGATGAAATTAGAAGAAATGCATATATGAGACAGTAAAAAGAGGTGCCAGACAAAAGAAATAGTAATAACGAAGAACAATATAGTTTCATTGGAGATCATAAGTCACAAGGAGTGGATGCATCTGCACTAGCCACTGAGAACGATTTTGAGCCATGTCATCAATTGTTTCCAGCCTTCATTGATTTTTACCGTCCCGAGGACCCCAGCCTGGAAGTCTACACCTTCATACGTGACTGGCTTAGACTAACTGTTGTAGATTTCATTGACTGGTGAAGCCATGTTTTTGTTCGACCGCCGCTAGCTTTTTCCAGCCTGACCATATATACGCTAACATTGCTCGTCGAGGAAGGCGATGAGAAGGCATACGTTACACATATCCTGACCATCTCAATATGTGTAACTTCACAACTTCATCGATTGATTTCCCCTGTTTACCTGGAACTCGACCGGCGCCTAACCTCAATATTGCTCACCTTATTATGCCACTTCACATGGGAGATAGAACGCAGAGACCTATGATCAAAGACAGCAATTTTTTTCATGTCTTCCACTCTCAGTGGCCAGGTCTCACAGCTGGCCATAAAGGAGGACAGAGCGGACTGTTGAGCAGTACACCCGTCCTTTGGTCGATAGCCGGATATCTCGTCTACGCCAGAGACGGCGTAAACTGGCAAATGCAAAACGAGCCCCCTGTATCCGTGCTGAGAATTTGCTAACCTGCCTCATGCCCAGCCTAACCTTCCCTCTTTACCAGACCAGTCTTATTACTGGCTTAACGAGATAAAAGAGTAGTACATCAGTGGCCGAGGATCAAACCCCGAACCACTTCAGTGGTTGACAAGCATTCTATATCGCTGTGCCACCGATGCACTATTAACCTACCTATACTATACGCAAAAAACACCTACCTACCTACCTTGCGATTGATTTTTTCATCTTCACCTAACATATTCAATATGTTCAATAGAATGCAAAATGAAACGCAGCCACATTTAATTCGTATGCATTAGAAACTAAATTAGACAAGAGATATGAAGAATACATCATGTATTGGCTAAACAAATACCAGCCAGCATTAAACATACAATTCACAGCACAAAAAAACAAACAAAAACAAAATCAATATTTATTTTTTGTACTAATGATCGTGCAATTTAATAATAGAAAAGAGAACAGAAAGACAACGGTGGGGTGTCTCAACGATGTTAGAATATTATTATTATTATTATTACATGAGTAGAAAGCATGAACAAACACGCAGAAAAAAAACAGCACAGAATCTTAATCACAATGATACTGGAGACGCGTAAGATGTACAGCAGTGAAGTAGGTAGCAGGTGGCAGGCAGAGGAGAGAGAGAGAGAGAAAAGCTGGGAACCACACAAACACAAAGACGCCACTGTTTATACAAAGCAAAAGTCAAAGAGAACACCAATCAATATGGCACAGTAAGTTGACTGACACTCAAATTTGATCACATTTGTACTTCACTTGTGTGTATGTGAGTGTGTGTTAGTATTTCGACGATATTCTCAAGTCGCTTACCCTGAACAACAGAGTTATTGATAGACGTGAGGAAGGAACTATCAGGGTAAAAGACTAGATTTTTTTATTCCAGTCCAATTCAACCTTGTTTTTTCTTGTAACCAATCCTCTTAAACTTCGAGATCGTCATCCTCCACCTGGAATTTTTCAAGAATACTTGTCTAATTAACTATTAGAAATAGTCAATCATGCGTTTTGTGTGACTTCAAGAGCGCTTTCAAAATCTCACTAGTACTAGTAGCTGCATAATATTTACTCCCAAGTTCTCCCCTCCTCTCCTGTATCACGGATTTACTGCCAACCAACCGGGAGTTCCCTTGATTGGCATAAACACACGCAGCATTTATAGCCAATGGACCACCACCACCAACAACAACAACATCAAAACACACCCTAGTATTTCGGATTGGGCATTTAACTTCTCACAGTTTCTTCCTTCCATCCATCCTTTGTATCAATAACTTTGTTAACAGACACAGTAGGATGATGACATAAGCTCTTTTTTTGTTGTTTTTTTTGGTAATGTATGCAGTCGGCTAAACACTTTTTTGTCCTTGTTCAATTTACAACAACCGAGTGACGAGAAGAGAAGTACTCAACTTGTTTTTGGCGCCCAATTACATCAATAGTTTATTTTGTCTAATGTATATATATATAGATATCTTGTCACAGCCTGTCATAAAGTGTCACCAATTATTATTATGCAATCTAATCTAATCAATTCTAATCTAGGGTGATATATTATGATTGTAGTAAATAAAGAATATATAGAAAAAGTGTGCAAAATGATACTCAATAGAAAAAATCAATCAGTGAAAACAAAAAAAATCGATAAAATTGATTGTCCCTGAGAAAGAGAGAGAGAGCGAGCGAGGGAGGGAGGAAAGGAGAAATAAAGGCAACGATAACAATAATAATAATAATAATAATAATAACAAATTGAAAAACAAGTCAAACGTAACACACAAAACAAAATACTCACTGATATGTGCATGTTTAGGTGTTTGTGTGTTTGTGAATGCGTGTTCACGGAGGATTGTAATCCCTGAGTATCATCACAAAATGATGAATAAAGCTCTATGATATGTGTGTGTGTGTATTGCGAGGAAAAGGACAACGACTAAGATAACGAAAACGACGACAGCTACACGTTGTCTTTTTTTGTCTTTCTAAAAGCTGACACCATTACGATCTTTACAGAAGCCCAGATTACTTTGATTATAGACGACAGTGAAGAAGTTGACATGTGAATTTAAACAAATATTGGCATATTCCACTGCCACCTAGAAAATACAAAAAACACAGAAAAAAAGAGTGGCGTGTGTGCGGGTGGAGAGAAACCAACATGCAGTAGGATAGTATAGACTCACAAGTGTCTGTCTGTGCACCAAGTGGTGCTCGGGAGGCACACAAAAATGAGAGAACAGGCAGGTAGGCAGGCTTTAGACCAGGAAGAAAATGGGTGTATTGATCATACCTACAGTCACCTTTCGACAAATTCTAGAAAAATAAGGAATTCTTACCGGCAACCAACAATCATTATATTTTTCGACCGAAAGGCGTCATTCGATTCTGTCGACCGAGAGATACTCTGTCAATGTTCGCCTGTCACGGGAATGTCGAGAGAATACATTACACTGGTCAAGACACTCTATTCGAAGTCATGCAGTCAGCCAGGTAAGAGCTTACGGTGAGTTGTCATCTGAAGTGGTGACAACTAGTGGTGTCATACAGGGATGCGCATTATCACCATTTCTATTCAGTTTCATCATAGTTGTACTGATGGACTTAACCCTAACTCACTTGAGTGACTCATAGATTGACTTGTTACCACCAGGGTATAAATAATCTCGTTAACTTAGAATATGCAGATGATATAGTCCTCCCTCCTGAGTGAAGACGCTGACAAAATACATCAGTCTTCTGAACACCTTGATCACTGATCAGCAATCTTCGAATGTTTGGCATGTAATGTAAGATGTGAGATGATATTACAGTACTGGACTACACTGACTCCCAGTTTGAAATAGGAAGTGAAGTGATAGAGCACGTTGAGCGCTCCACTTATTGGGGAAGTACCATTAGACCGAACTGGTCGATCTCTGACGAAATCTCAGCACGGATACAGAGGGCTAGTTTTGTATATGCCAGTTTACGCCGCCTCTGGCGTAGACGTGACACGTAGGAAGGCGTAGAGTTTCTGACTGGTTGGGATCCTTGGGAACGGTAAAAACCAATGAAGGCTGGAAACAATTGGTGATATGGCTCAAAATCTCCGTTGTCAATGGCTGGTGCAGATGCATCCACTGCATGTGACTTATGATTTCCAATGAAACTGTTTTGTTGTCCGTTATTAGTATTCCTTTTTACTCATATCCCTGTCTACTGTCTCGAATATGCATTTCTTCTAATTTCTTCTGTTGCTTTGTTTGCTACATGGAGGGAGTGTGGCGACTTGAACTGGTGCACATTGCGGTGCAAAGTTCTATGTCGAAAACAGACAGACAGGTAGTGTCTGTCTGCGTAGTATGCTTGTCTGACGAGAGATTATTGTTGTTATTATTATTATTTCTACCGGATATCAACAGGAAGCGAGAGTAGACTGACTGCTTTAAACATTGATTTGTTTCCAGCCAGTGGAACACAGCAGGCCAACGATCTCAATCAGGAAGCTTACACCTCCCTATGTGGTTGATTCAAATCAACTGTCAAGCATTTTATGCACGGATTCCGAGTTTTTGTTCTAACAACACCACCAGCTCTTCGACAGCATTTGACCGTCGAAAAAGGTGAAGGTTAGAAATGCGCAACATGCGTGTCCTATCCATCTTGGTCAGTGTAGCTTCACAAACTCATAGATTGATTCTCTCCCTCTCTCTCCTTATCTAACAATCTATGGCTAAAACTTCAATATTACCCAAACACACACCATTACCAATACACCTAAGACGAGAGATGAAACGTGTGAAAAACGATGGCTAGGCTTTTCATGCCTACCACATTTCAATATCCATGTCTTGCTTACAGCTGTAGAGGAAGACGACGCAGCGAACTACTGCTGAGCAGTAGACGCATCATTTGACCGATCGAAAGAATGTCAGCCGGATATTATGTCTACATCAGAGATCATATAGGTTGACGAATGCCACATGAACCTTTTGTATCCGTCTTGATATTTTGTCAGAAATCGGTCTGTTGGGCTCCAGTGCAACTTCCCAAATAAGTGAAGTGGTCAACAAGCTCAGCCATCACTCCACTCCCTATTTCTAAGCTAAGAGTCAGTGTAGTCCAGTCCTGTAGCCTCATCATCACACATTTGACAGAGGGAGCGAATCACATGGCAAACATTCGAAGATTGCTGATCAGTGATCAAGGTGTTCAGAAGACTCTAATGTATTTTGTCAGCGTCTTCACCCAGGAGGGAGGACTATATCATCTGTATATTCTAAGTTAACGAGATTATTTATACCCTGGTGGTAACAAGTCAATCTATGAGTCACTCAAGTGAGTAAGGGTTAAGTCCATCAGTACAACTATGATGAAACTAAATAGAAATGGTGATAATGCGCATCCCTGTTGGACACCACTAGTTGTCACCACTTCAGATGACAACTCACCGTAAGCTTTTACCTGGCTGACTGCATGACTTCGAATAGAGTGTCTTGACTAGTGTAGTGTATTCTCTCGACATTCCCGTGACAGCCAGACATTGACAGAGTACCTCTCGGTCGACAGAATCGAATAACCCCCTTTGGTCAAGAAACATGACAATTATTGGACACAGGACAGTAAGTATGTCGAAGGGTGAATTATTATTATTACTTCCTAAAATTCCTAGAGGAACAAAGGGTTTAAGCCGAGCGTTTCCATTGCGTTCAGCTCTCTGTTAGAGTTTTCACGTGTCTCCAAGTCTACTCACATGCTTTCATCTCCTCTTTACATGACTCCCTCCAAGTCACCTTTGGATGACCAACTCGCCGGCTCTCTTTTGGGTCCTGTCGACCTATGGCTTGTCTAGTGATGTCACTTGACGGTCTTTTTCTCAGAGTATGACCAATCCAATCCACCTCCATTTCTTCTTGCATATTTGTTGCACAATCGGTTCCTGGTTGGTTTGTTCATTGCCAGAGATCCCTCCCTGTTGCTGATCTTTTCTGGCCGGCCATTTGAACTTGAGTGGTACTGAGCGAAGACACCTGTTAATGAAGGTGTGTATTTTGGCTGATGTGCTTTTGATGAGACGCGCCAAGTCTCTGATCCGTGAAGTGGCACTGACTCGAAGGGTGTATATATGATTAAAAAACACAGGGTACACCACTGATGAAATCAGCCCCAAACGAAAGAAATGGACATCCAGTTTTTTGGATGTCCGGATGACAGGCAAGCACTACTGGTTCCTGTGAGTAGTATATAACAACTAATCATCCCAAACCAGTCAATGGTATGTATACCTGCACATAAACATCAACAGAAGAAACAAAATGGGACTCACACACACACACAGAATATACATATAGTATAGAATAGCGCATAAAGACTAACCTCAACACCTAATGTAGACAATGTCGTCGAAATAGTTGACAGTGCCAGATCAACATCGAATAGATCTTTATTCGGTAATAGTTCAGGTGAATAATAACACGGGTGATGATGTAATATTGTCATTGGAACATCTTTTGACACTGGATTCCAACGATCTAACCATTTTGTTTGTTGAATATCACCCCAAATCAGTTGGACAGCACCATAATTACGTTCGCTAAAAGTAGAAGAATAATAAATAAAGAGAAAACAAAAAAAATCGATATTGTGATGTATGCTAAAAGACTGACATGTAGTGTGATGGGAGAGCTGTGCCTGCTAGCCGATACCTGCAGCTGACATCAATTGCCGTCAATGTTTACATCCTAAATCTTGATCATGACAACAACAAAAACACACGAGAACAAAGACTAATTCAACAACCAATCACAGTAAACTTAGCGTAGGCGGATACGATTAGCAAATAAATATATCACCGGCCTGTCTAAGAAACAGCAACAAAGCGATGACAGAATAACCTTCAGCAGGAAAACAACCAATCAGAAGACGTTGTTTCTATGCTAACAATACCGAATATAAAAAATATACATAAAAATCTATAAATATCTGTTCATTTTCTCAATAGACGATCTGTTGCCTGGCCCTTGTCTCCTGTCGTTATAGTATTAGTAGTAGTAGCAATTGTAGATTTACATGGAGGAGATCGTGTGAAGAGGAGTTGAAACAGTATGGACTAACATGGATTCAGGTGAAAAGTACAGCAGAAGACAGTAGCAAGTGGAGACGTGAAGTTGAAGCCCTGTGTTCCACTACAAATCCAAGGGAACAACAACAATAATAATGATAATAATTACATTTTGATATTCTATTTGATTTAATAATAACCCTTTGGGAACACGTTCTTTCCAATGAGGATGTCAGAACATTTTGTCGGTCCTACTTGTATGTCACCACAACTCATCAGGTGGAGAGAGCCTGGATAACCAAAAACTTCCTTCTCTCTCTCTCTATCTATTGTATACATTTTCCCACTCGTTCAGTTTGTTTTAGTCGATTGAGATATGACCTCTAATAGGTCATATTTAAAGTGTTTACAAGCTCCTGTCTAATTCGCAAATTCCTACTAATCGTGAAGAATGGTCTGATTGTGGCTGGCAACATATTGCAATCCATGAGATAACTGTTCTTCACTTATGTCTTTGATTGTCAAAATGTACTTCTGAACATCTAACAATAGACTTTCAACTAGATATTATGGATTTCTTGAAGCAGAGACAAAGCAGATATACCATCACATTTTGATGTGGTTGTGTTCAGGAAGCTTTCATCGCCACCCCCCAACCAGGCGACATCTTCAGCGCCCATACTTCAATTCGAATTGAAGTGAACTTTTAAATTTCTCCACGAGTATATTAATCATCTCTGCTGGTCGGTGACGTTGGACGAGATTGGTTATTTTGGTGTGTTTTCATACCTTTTAGGCTACTTCTATTGGAACTGATTGTTTCTTGACTTGAAATTTGACCCTTTGTGTGTGAGGTTTCTTTCTTTTCCGTTGATAAATTTTGTCTATCTCGATGTGTCTATTGATTCATGGAATCAAGGATAACGCGTATTTCGTCCTATTCCGGATTCATCATCTGGATGTACCTGCATTTCCCAGTGAGTGATGATGTTCCCACTGAGGCTCAAACCCAGTGGCCATAGGTTCAAACGCCAAAGTGTCATCCACAGGACCGATTGGGCCACGAGAGCCACACGCCCCCCTCATGAGTAACACGTAATATTAATTATGTAATTCGATTTTGACGTTTGAAACTGTGGGCACTGGGTTCCAGCCTTGGTCGGAGCTTCACCACTCACTGCAGAATGCACATCCAGCTGGCAGACAACTCTCAAAGTAGGAGAAAAAATGCGCGTTACCCTGGATTACACTGCTAGTCACCACCACCATCCACCAATTAATTATACTCTGATCTTATGTTTGGCAAAAGTTGCTTGTGACTGTAATTCTACTGATCTTTGACAACTGGATATTGATGTAGTCAATAAAAATTACTCTTCAAATATATTGTCAACCATAATAATGATAATAATTACAGTTTTATTGTAGACAATGTTTACAAAGTGTACAGTGTGTATGAATTTAGCAAAGGTAAGAATGGTTGACCTCAAGAAGATAAGTAATTCAGAAAACAGCACACCAACAACACTGCATGCCTTAAAACACAACTACAAAATAGGGTGAGAGAGTGTCCAAATTCTAAAAAATAATATAAGTAGATGGAGAGAGAGAGAGAGATTGGTTACTGAATCCTGCCTGGTTCATCGAGTCTACACACCTAACAAACCATATACAACAGAAATGACTCAATGCAAATACCAGAGATATGGAACATATATTCAAGTGTTGGTGGTAGTGTGATGTATCTAGTCCTTTCTTTGGTGTAGACTGAATTCTATCAGTCAGGTTGTAATGTGACCACCATGCCACTAGGTAGCTCGCCATGACGGCACACATTGATTTGATGGTATTAGATGATAGTTGGAGGCAATCGGCCACAGGAAGCCTTGGACATCACCTAGGTTTCGTGCTAGTTGGCACTCACCAGTCAAGCAAGGCGTATCTGCAACCACATTGAAGGAACTCATGTCCCTTCTGAGATTCGAACCCGCGTCACACAGTTCCAGCTGCAGTCAGAGACGTTACCACTTAGCTCTTCAGGCTCGCGATTGACCTCCTGTAGGACTGTAGTGGATATTCGACACTAGTAACTAGTGTGATGCTTCTAGTTAATCGCTAGCCCGAATAGCTCAGTGGTAACGTCTCTGATTGCAGCTCTCACTGGGTGACGCGGGTTCGAACCTCAGAAGGGACATGAGTTCCTTCAATGTGGTTGCAGATACGCCTTGCTTGACTGGGGAGTGCCAACTAGCACAAAACCGAGGTGAAGCGAGGCTTCCTGTGGCCGATTGCCTCCAACTATCATCTAATACTATTAAATGTTAAAATGTATTCAATTCAATTCACATTATAACATTCTAATATTTATTTTACTAAAAAAATATCTTATTTCCTATCGTACTGACTAACAACACTCGTCTTATTTCCCAGCCTATTGTCTGTTATTGATAACACTCTAATAAGGGTTCCGAATGTACTTTATCTTCCATTCTGTATCACGCATGTCTTATATTGATTTTATTCATCAAATGTCTAATTGCATCAATTTTTACTCATGTTATAGTAAATGAAGTGAGAAAATTGTGTGAGAGTAATGCCTTGTGATATGATGACAATGAGCAATCATAAATTGTGCTCAAAACGTGTGTTGTTGTACCTCCAGCAATAGACTTTTTTTCGGAGAAGGAAAGACATAATAATATTTCATTCCTGAAGGTCTCTTTGACTAAGAGAGAGGATGACAGTACACTAAGAAGGATTGTTTTTATAGGGAAATTACATCGACCATTTAGTACATTCACCCATATAAACGGAACTCGGTAGAGCGTCTGGTCGAACGACTCTCTCAATTGTGAAGAGCTCAAGATTATCGAAGAGTTACTTATTAAAATGGTTATCCAGATAAATTCGTTAAGAAAAACGCATGGATTTAGCACTGAAATAAGCCGTTTAAGTAGGGCAACAGCTCCAAACACAACCATTGTGCATGAAACTGTCATTCATCATCAGCGAAATAGCACTAAGTAGCACAAAAAAGGCCTAAACGATGAAATGAAACAGATAGAAGAAGAGTAGCTGGTAGGTGTCAAATTAAGAAGATCAGAAAAGGTCAAAAGCAAAATAAAAAATTGTGAAACTAGTAATGATCACATAAATAAGAGAGAATATAAGACATCTACAGATTTACCATATAAGGATGGGGACATTTGAGACCTTCCCTATGTAGGATTCTCAATAAAATAGGAATTAGTCTGGGATTCAAACCCTTCTGCAGACTCATTCAAGAAAGACAAGCTGTGTAGGTTAAAGGACAATGCATGTTGATCCAGTTAGGCAAAATAATAAAATTTACAAAATACCTTGAAATGACTGTGAGTCAAGTCAACAACATAAGTCATGGGTCAAACTAGTAGGTCGGGGGTAGTCAGATTATCAGAACATAAGAATTTAGTTAAGGTTAGAATGATTGACCCCACCCGGGAAAATAAGTAATTTAGAAAAAAGCCTAGTCATTGCACTGCGTGCATTAACAACTCACAACCACACAATAGGGTGGGTGGGACAGTGTCAAAATTCTAAGAATTAATATAGTTAGGTGGAGAGAGGGAGAGAAAAGATTGATTACTGAATCCTGCTTGGTTCATCGAGTCTACACACCTAACACACCATATACAACATAACTGACTCAATGCAAAATACCAGAAATATGTATGGAAGATATTATTACCACCAGTCTATCAGTTTTCGACATAGAACTTTGCACATATGTGCGCCAGTTCAAGTCACCACACTCCCTCCATGTAGCACACAAAGCAACAGAAGAAAGTACAAGAAAAAGCATAATACAGATAGTAAGCAGAGGTGTGAGACAAAGGAAGAGTAATAACGAAGAACAATATAGTTTCATTGGAAATCATAAGTCACAAGGAGTGGATGCATCTGCACCAGCCATGGACAACGAGGATTTTGAGCCATGTCACCAATTGTTTCTAGCCTTCATTGATTTTCACCGTCCCGAGGACCCCAACCAGTCAGGAAGCCAGTCTACACCTTCCTACGTGGCTTAGACCAACTGTTGTGGATTTCATTGATAGGTGAAAGTTGTTATTTGACCGCCGCTAGCTAGCTTTTTTCCAACCTGACCATATATCCGCTAACATTGCTCGTCAAGGAAGGCGATGAGAAGGCATACGTTACGCATGTCCTAACCATCTCAATATGTGTAACTTCACAACTTCATCGATTGATTTCCCCTGTTTACCTGGAACTCGACCGGCGCCTAACCTCAATATTGCTCACCTTATTATGCCACTTCACATGGGAAATAGAGCGCAGGCACCTATGATAAAAGACAGCTAGCTAATCTTATCATGTCTTCCAATCTCAGTGGCCAGGTCTCATAGCTGGCCATAAAGGAGGACGGAGCGGACTGATGAGCAGTACACCCACCTTTTGGTCGATAGTCGAATATGTCATCAACACCAGAGACGGCGTAAACTGGCAAATGCGAAACGAGCTCCCATGTATCCGTGCTGAGATTTCGTCAGAGATCAACCCGTTGGCACTGGCTGATGGTACTTCCCAAATAAGTGAAGCGGTCAACGTGCTCTACCACTTCACTTCCTATTTTTAAACTAGGCATCGATGTAGTCCAGTCCTGTAACATCATCTTGCATTTGGCGGGAGCGAATCGCATGCTAAACATTCGTAAAATACAGCACAAGGTTTTCAGAAGACTGCATTTTTTCAGCGTCTTCGCCTAACGGTCAGTCAAATCAGAGGAGGATAATAAATAATCTTAAAATTCTATTTCAATTCACGTAGCTTTTTGAGATATGGCGAAGATAAGCGATTAAATCGAATGAATAATGTTTCTTTAGGACAACATATTTCGAAACAGAATTTAAGATAATCGGTAGTGTTTGTGATTGTTTCATCTAATGTTTGTTATGTAAATAAGTCCCAGTTAGTGTCTTTCAACATGCATCTGAGCCTGCCTAGGTTGTTTTGTGAGTAGCATCTCCGTTGAACTTTACTGTAGAGGTGAGAGAGGACACAGTTTACAATTTATTTAGGATAGTAGGCTATATGCCTGTGTTAATCCTTTCGATTTATTGCATACAGGAGGTCCAATCTCGCCTTGAATGAATCAACGGATGGCGCTGATACGACGTGTTCCGGTAGGGAGTTCCAATGGTTCACAATTCGATGCGAAAAACGGATTTCCAGACGCAGACGATTCGACCGTGGTTTTTGAACCTTGAGGTGATGTCCTCGCAATTGGTTGGTGCTAGAAGGAAGAAATAATTTAGATAAATTAGCTCCAAAATCATTTCTTAGGATACGGTATGCTAGTATTAGGTCACCCCTAAGTCGTCTGTATGACAGTGGAAATAAACCCAGTCGACTTAACCTCTCCTCATATGACAGGGTTGAGAAACCCTTTATTAGCTTAGTTCCTACTCTTTGCACCCTTTCTAATAAGTCTATTTCGTATTTGAAACACGGGCTCGCTGCCTGGATCCCATATTCCAAATGAGGTCTGATATAAGTCGGATATAATATACGAAATATATCAGCGTCAAAGTTCGCAAAAGCCTTGCGTATGGCCCATAACATTCGAAAACCCTTAGTGGCTGCAGTTCTACAGTTTGTTGCTGTTTTCAAGTCATGCTGCACAACCACTCCCAAGTCCTTGTACTCAGTGACCACTGGGAGAGTAATGCCATTCATTGAGTAATTGTGCACGTGACTATGGGATACATGCATAACTACACTCTTGCTTAAGTTAATCTCCAAGGCCCAGTGCTTACACCAATCACTTAACAAGTTTAAATCTTCCTGCAAAGCAAGTTGATCACTGTCATCGTGCAAAGCCCTCCATATCTTGATGTCATCAGCAAACAGTAAGCAGGATGACTTAACTACCGATGGAATCTCATTAACATAAATCAGGAAAAGAAGTGGGCCTAGAATTGTACCCTGAGGAACGCCACTCTTAACCGATTCCCATGTTGATAAAACCCCGTTAACTCGTACTCTTTGTCTTCTGTCCTTTAGAAAGTCTTGAATCCAGTCGGTAACCACTTTATTGATTCCCAGACTACCTAACTTTACTAGAAGACCTGAATGAGAAACCCTGTCAAACGCCTTGCTAAGGTCTATGAATATGGCATCCACCGGTATATTAGCATCAGCTGAGCTTGCCCAACTTTCTCTGGCCAAAAGAAGGTTGGTCAAGCAAGAATGACCTGCTCTAAAACCGTGCTGTTCCACAGCGAAAAGTTTGTTCCCTTCAATGAACTGAATGATAGCATCACGAATTATTCTTTCTAGTAGTTTAACAACAATACTGGTCAAACTAACAGGACGATAGTTCTGAACTAAGTTTCTAGATCCGGTTTTGAAGACCGGACTAATGATGGCATCTTTCCAGTCTCTTGGACATTTAGACTGGTCCAGAGACATATTGAAGATTACCGACAATGGCTCGGCTATGCTTTCAGCCAATGCTGTTAATATACGTGGGTGGAGTTCATCAGGGCCACTGGACTTACCAGGATTGAGCCTTAGAAGCCACTTTAGGACAGTATCCTTTCCAATGTATAAGGGTGCCATTTTCAAGTTACCTTTTGGAAAATTTACAAAGCTGGTATCAATATTATCAGAGAATACTTGACTAAAGTGCTTGGACAAAGCCTCAGCCTTAGTCAAGTTATCCTCAGCCATGTTTGTCTGGTCATCTTCAAGCATAAGAGGTGGGATAGCATCACTCTTACGTGTTCTTCTCTTGATATATGAGAAGAGTCTTTTTGGGCAGCCTGGTGAACTTTTAACTAACTGGGTTTCGTAAGCTATCCTTGACTGGTGGATCAAAGTTTTACACTGGTTTCTGGTTTCACAGTATTTCAGCCGGAACTGCTGTAGCCCAGTAGAAACAAAGAGATTCCAGAACCTTTTTCTCCGTCTCAGGAGTGTTATAGCTTGTCTATTTATCCATGGTGGCCGATTTGTTGGCCTTTTAGGAACCCTCCAGGGGATGAGATCAGTGGTAACCCTCTCAAGTGTATTCTTAAATCTATCCCATTCATCTTCAATGGATGAGACAATGTTGACTGACCAGTCGGCAGTTGAAGCACGCTCCTTTATAGCCACTATGTCAGCATGCCAAACACTAGGCCGGGATTTGGGTTGAAAACTGACTAAATTGCCAGCCCTTAAGTTAAAATCTAACACCCCATGATCACTGTTTGCTAGAGGTGGATGAATAACTAGACCATCCACGTCGTCGTTGTCATGAGTAAGCACTAAGTCCAGCAAGGAAGATCCTTGGGTAGAACCGAATCTTGTACTACCTAAGACATGTTGTGTCAGGGCATTTTCCATGGTTGTCAAGAGTAACCGGCTGTCAAACTTATCAGCGGATCCTGGAGATGTGACAGCTACCCAGTCTATATGAGGTGCATTAAAATCACCTAGAATAAGACAGCTACTGTGTTTACTCCATTGTTTGAGGTGATCTAAAATGAAGTCATCACACTGACAATAGGGACTTCTATACAGAACTCCAATGAGTAGAGTGCCGGTTGCAAAGCTTACTTCACAGCTAATTACCTCACCTGTCCCACTGTCATGAGCTTCAGATTTCACGGAACGAACATGTAGGGAGTTGTTGATGTACAGAGCAACCCCGCCACCTCTACGACCCTTAACCCTGTCGCTGCGCAAGCAACTAAATCCGCATAGCTCAGGTGTGTCATCTAATCCCGAAACCAGCCATGTTTCAGTAATGGCCACAATACCTGGGCTAAGGTCTTCTACTAATACACCTAGCTCGTGAAATTTGTTCCCGATACTACGTATATTAGTGTACACTACCTTCAGGCTTCCTATGCGGTCTGGCTTATCCACACAGGTCTTGGAAGCATACGTTTCCAAGACCTGACTATTTGAAAACCCACCAGTTTAAGGTTAGTCTCACCATTTTTACGTCTTGTTTCTAGCTGGGACAAAACTTCTTTTCGTTTAAGTCTGTCTTCAAGAGATAAATCAGGTCTGGCTGAAATTCCTGACCCGGCAAGGTTGTGTACATTAGCCAGTAGATGATTCCGTTCATCAGGAGAACCTAAGACTACTTTAAGCAACCTACGCTGACTAGAACATTCATCATCTCTTTTGCCTATTCTAATCAGCTTTTTAATCGATACTCCAGGGAAATTCGCTGGGAGCATCTTCCTTATAATACTACTCACTAATTTAAGGTCGTGATCGTGCCTTTTCACGGGATCAGATTCTTTGGACTCTTCCAAATTTCCAACAATTATGTTAGAGTCTAAGGAGAGCTTGTCGTATTTAGCAGTGGCTACGTCCTTTCTCACCACTATTGATGCAGCCTGGCTACAGGTGACAGACGTTTGCCTACCATCAATATTACTATATTTCTTCCGACTGCTTATTTTTGTTACCCATTTATCATCTGCCTGCAGTTGCTTCTCAGGGCTGCTGCAGTTTTTGATGGTACAATCAAGATCAGTGTCTGCACCACCTTCATGGTGAACTTCGCTTACGGTGTTCTCTGGTTCTGAGATGCTGTTTACAGCTTCCGTTTTGTTACCTTTTCGCTTACTAAGACGCTTCGAACGCCTAGTAGGTTTTACTTCCGGGGTAACTGGGATAGTAACCGCCGGTGTGATAACATTCATGATGGCACTTACTGCGTCATCTTCAGACGGGCAGTCCGTGTCACTCTTACTAGCCACGCTATCATCAGGAAGTTCCATGGCTTTAGACAGCAGTTCGTGAGCCTCCCTTATTAAGGTCATCTTTGGGGAACAACACATTCTGCACATCCAGTGGGATGTTGGAGCAGTACAACGTTTGTATGCAGCTGGACGTAATCCAGTACACATCTTATGATACCACTTTTCACAGTTATTACACTGTATTCCATCATCTACCAAAAAGTAACACTCCGCCCTATTACATTTATGTGGTACTTTTGACATAATGAACTTCTACTGGAAACAGCCAAGACAATTTACCCAATATAGACTATATAAGTGGTTAAAATCAAAACTTAACAGACAAAAGTCAAGTTAAAGTTTTTTCTAAAATGTTCTTGAAGTGAATAACACAACAAAACAGCGATTTGTCAAAAACGTGAAAAAAACAATCTCTTTCAAACAGCGCGCGATGTATAAAGGACATTATATATCGCGCGCTGTTTGAAAGAGATTGTTTTTTTCACGTTTTTGACAAATCGCTGTTTTGTTGTGTTATTCACTTCAAGAACATTTTAAAAAAAACTTTAACTTGACTTTTGTCTGTTAAGTTTTGATTTTAACCACTTATATAGTCTATATTGGGTAAATTGTCTTGGCTGTTTCCAGTAGAAGTTCATTATGTCAAAAGTACCACATAAATGTAATAGGGCGGAGTGTTACTTTTTGGTAGATGATGGAATACAGTGTAATAACTGTGAAAAGTGGTATCATAAGATGTGTACTGGATTACGTCCAGCTGCATACAAACGTTGTACTGCTCCAACATCCCACTGGATGTGCAGAATGTGTTGTTCCCCAAAGATGACCTTAATAAGGGAGGCTCACGAACTGCTGTCTAAAGCCATGGAACTTCCTGATGATAGCGTGGCTAGTAAGAGTGACACGGACTGCCCGTCTGAAGATGACGCAGTAAGTGCCATCATGAATGTTATCACACCGGCGGTTACTATCCCAGTTACCCCGGAAGTAAAACCTACTAGGCGTTCGAAGCGTCTTAGTAAGCGAAAAGGTAACAAAACGGAAGCTGTAAACAGCATCTCAGAACCAGAGAACACCGTAAGCGAAGTTCACCATGAAGGTGGTGCAGACACTGATCTTGATTGTACCATCAAAAACTGCAGCAGCCCTGAGAAGCAACTGCAGGCAGATGATAAATGGGTAACAAAAATAAGCAGTCGGAAGAAATATAGTAATATTGATGGTAGGCAAACGTCTGTCACCTGTAGCCAGGCTGCATCAATAGTGGTGAGAAAGGACGTAGCCACTGCTAAATACGACAAGCTCTCCTTAGACTCTAACATAATTGTTGGAAATTTGGAAGAGTCCAAAGAATCTGATCCCGTGAAAAGGCACGATCACGACCTTAAATTAGTGAGTAGTATTATAAGGAAGATGCTCCCAGCGAATTTCCCTGGAGTATCGATTAAAAAGCTGATTAGAATAGGCAAAAGAGATGATGAATGTTCTAGTCAGCGTAGGTTGCTTAAAGTAGTCTTAGGTTCTCCTGATGAACGGAATCATCTACTGGCTAATGTACACAACCTTGCCGGGTCAGGAATTTCAGCCAGACCTGATTTATCTCTTGAAGACAGACTTAAACGAAAAGAAGTTTTGTCCCAGCTAGAAACAAGACGTAAAAATGGTGAGACTAACCTTAAACTGGTGGGTTTTCAAATAGTCAGGTCTTGGAAACGTATGCTTCCAAGACCTGTGTGGATAAGCCAGACCGCATAGGAAGCCTGAAGGTAGTGTACACTAATATACGTAGTATCGGGAACAAATTTCACGAGCTAGGTGTATTAGTAGAAGACCTTAGCCCAGGTATTGTGGCCATTACTGAAACATGGCTGGTTTCGGGATTAGATGACACACCTGAGCTATGCGGATTTAGTTGCTTGCGCAGCGACAGGGTTAAGGGTCGTAGAGGTGGCGGGGTTGCTCTGTACATCAACAACTCCCTACATGTTCGTTCCGTGAAATCTGAAGCTCATGACAGTGGGACAGGTGAGGTAATTAGCTGTGAAGTAAGCTTTGCAACCGGCACTCTACTCATTGGAGTTCTGTATAGAAGTCCCTATTGTCAGTGTGATGACTTCATTTTAGATCACCTCAAACAATGGAGTAAACACAGTAGCTGTCTTATTCTAGGTGATTTTAATGCACCTCATATAGACTGGGTAGCTGTCACATCTCCAGGATCCGCTGATAAGTTTGACAGCCGGTTACTCTTGACAACCATGGAAAATGCCCTGACACAACATGTCTTAGGTAGTACAAGATTCGGTTCTACCCAAGGATCTTCCTTGCTGGACTTAGTGCTTACTCATGACAACGACGACGTGGATGGTCTAGTTATTCATCCACCTCTAGCAAACAGTGATCATGGGGTGTTAGATTTTAACTTAAGGGCTGGCAATTTAGTCAGTTTTCAACCCAAATCCCGGCCTAGTGTTTGGCATGCTGACATAGTGGCTATAAAGGAGCGTGCTTCAACTGCCGACTGGTCAGTCAACATTGTCTCATCCATTGAAGATGAATGGGATAGATTTAAGAATACACTTGAGAGGGTTACCACTGATCTCATCCCCTGGAGGGTTCCTAAAAGGCCAACAAATCGGCCACCATGGATAAATAGACAAGCTATAACACTCCTGAGACGGAGAAAAAGGTTCTGGAATCTCTTTGTTTCTACTGGGCTACAGCAGTTCCGGCTGAAATACTGTGAAACCAGAAACCAGTGTAAAACTTTGATCCACCAGTCAAGGATAGCTTACGAAACCCAGTTAGTTAAAAGTTCACCAGGCTGCCCAAAAAGACTCTTCTCATATATCAAGAGAAGAACACGTAAGAGTGATGCTATCCCACCTCTTATGCTTGAAGATGACCAGACAAACATGGCTGAGGATAACTTGACTAAGGCTGAGGCTTTGTCCAAGCACTTTAGTCAAGTATTCTCTGATAATATTGATACCAGCTTTGTAAATTTTCCAAAAGGTAACTTGAAAATGGCACCCTTATACATTGGAAAGGATACTGTCCTAAAGTGGCTTCTAAGGCTCAATCCTGGTAAGTCCAGTGGCCCTGATGAACTCCACCCACGTATATTAACAGCATTGGCTGAAAGCATAGCCGAGCCATTGTCGGTAATCTTCAATATGTCTCTGGACCAGTCTAAATGTCCAAGAGACTGGAAAGATGCCATCATTAGTCCGGTCTTCAAAACCGGATCTAGAAACTTAGTTCAGAACTATCGTCCTGTTAGTTTGACCAGTATTGTTGTTAAACTACTAGAAAGAATAATTCGTGATGCTATCATTCAGTTCATTGAAGGGAACAAACTTTTCGCTGTGGAACAGCACGGTTTTAGAGCAGGTCATTCTTGCTTGACCAACCTTCTTTTGGCCAGAGAAAGTTGGGCAAGCTCAGCTGATGCTAATATACCGGTGGATGCCATATTCATAGACCTTAGCAAGGCGTTTGACAGGGTTTCTCATTCAGGTCTTCTAGTAAAGTTAGGTAGTCTGGGAATCAATAAAGTGGTTACCGACTGGATTCAAGACTTTCTAAAGGACAGAAGACAAAGAGTACGAGTTAACGGGGTTTTATCAACATGGGAATCGGTTAAGAGTGGCGTTCCTCAGGGTACAATTCTAGGCCCACTTCTTTTCCTGATTTATGTTAATGAGATTCCATCGGTAGTTAAGTCATCCTGCTTACTGTTTGCTGATGACATCAAGATATGGAGGGCTTTGCACGATGACAGTGATCAACTTGCTTTGCAGGAAGATTTAAACTTGTTAAGTGATTGGTGTAAGCACTGGGCCTTGGAGATTAACTTAAGCAAGAGTGTAGTTATGCATGTATCCCATAGTCACGTGCACAATTACTCAATGAATGGCATTACTCTCCCAGTGGTCACTGAGTACAAGGACTTGGGAGTGGTTGTGCAGCATGACTTGAAAACAGCAACAAACTGTAGAACTGCAGCCACTAAGGGTTTTCGAATGTTATGGGCCATACGCAAGGCTTTTGCGAACTTTGACGCTGATATATTTCGTATATTATATCCGACTTATATCAGACCTCATTTGGAATATGGGATCCAGGCAGCGAGCCCGTGTTTCAAATACGAAATAGACTTATTAGAAAGGGTGCAAAGAGTAGGAACTAAGCTAATAAAGGGTTTCTCAACCCTGTCATATGAGGAGAGGTTAAGTCGACTGGGTTTATTTCCACTGTCATACAGACGACTTAGGGGTGACCTAATACTAGCATACCGTATCCTAAGAAATGATTTTGGAGCTAATTTATCTAAATTATTTCTTCCTTCTAGCACCAACCAATTGCGAGGACATCACCTCAAGGTTCAAAAACCACGGTCGAATCGTCTGCGTCTGGAAATCCGTTTTTCGCATCGAATTGTGAACCATTGGAACTCCCTACCGGAACACGTCGTATCAGCGCCATCCGTTGATTCATTCAAGGCGAGATTGGACCTCCTGTATGCAATAAATCGAAAGGATTAACACAGGCATATAGCCTACTATCCTAAATAAATTGTAAACTGTGTCCTCTCTCACCTCTACAGTAAAGTTCAACGGAGATGCTACTCACAAAACAACCTAGGCAGGCTCAGATGCATGTTGAAAGACACTAACTGGGACTTATTTACATAACAAACATTAGATGAAACAATCACAAACACTACCGATTATCTTAAATTCTGTTTCGAAATATGTTGTCCTAAAGAAACATTATTCATTCGATTTAATCGCTTATCTTCGCCATATCTCAAAAAGCTACGTGAATTGAAATAGAATTTTAAGATTATTTATTATCCTCCTCTGATTTGACTGACCGTTAGGCGAAGACGCTGAAAAAATGCAGTCTTCTGAAAACCTTGTGCTGTATTTTACGAATGTTTAGCATGCGATTCGCTCCCGCCAAATGCAAGATGATGTTACAGGACTGGACTACATCGATGCCTAGTTTAAAAATAGGAAGTGAAGTGGTAGAGCACGTTGACCGCTTCACTTATTTGGGAAGTACCATCAGCCAGTGCCAACGGGTTGATCTCTGACGAAATCTCAGCACGGATACATGGGAGCTCGTTTCGCATTTGCCAGTTTACGCCGTCTCTGGTGTTGATGACATATTCGACTATCGACCAAAAGGTGGGTGTACTGCTCATCAGTCCGCTCCGTCCTCCTTTATGGCCAGCTATGAGACCTGGCCACTGAGATTGGAAGACATGATAAGATTAGCTAGCTGTCTTTTATCATAGGTGCCTGCGCTCTATTTCCCATGTGAAGTGGCATAATAAGGTGAGCAATATTGAGGTTAGGCGCCGGTCGAGTTCCAGGTAAACAGGGGAAATCAATCGATGAAGTTGTGAAGTTACACATATTGAGATGGTTAGGACATGCGTAACGTATGCCTTCTCATCGCCTTCCTTGACGAGCAATGTTAGCGGATATATGGTCAGGTTGGAAAAAAGCTAGCTAGCGGCGGTCAAATAACAACTTTCACCTATCAATGAAATCCACAACAGTTGGTCTAAGCCACGTAGGAAGGTGTAGACTGGCTTCCTGACTGGTTGGGGTCCTCGGGACGGTGAAAATCAATGAAGGCTAGAAACAATTGGTGACATGGCTCAAAATCCTCGTTGTCCATGGCTGGTGCAGATGCATCCACTCCTTGTGACTTATGATTTCCAATGAAACTATATTGTTCTTCGTTATTACTCTTCCTTTGTCTCACACCTCTGCTTACTATCTGTATTATGCTTTTTCTTGTACTTTCTTCTGTTGCTTTGTGTGCTACATGGAGGGAGTGTGGTGACTTGAACTGGCGCACATATGTGCAAAGTTCTATGTCGAAAACTGATAGACTGGTGGTAATAATATCTTCCATACATATTTCTGGTATTTTGCATTGAGTCAGTTATGTTGTATATGGTGTGTTAGGTGTGTAGACTCGATGAACCAAGCAGGATTCAGTAATCAATCTTTTCTCTCCCTCTCTCCACCTAACTATATTAATTCTTAGAATTTTGACACTGTCCCACCCACCCTATTGTGTGGTTGTGAGTTGTTAATGCACGCAGTGCAATGACTAGGCTTTTTTCTAAATTACTTATTTTCCCGGGTGGGGTCAATCATTCTAACCTTAACTAAATTCTTATGTTCTGATAATCTGACTACCCCCGACCTACTAGTTTGACCCATGACTTATGTTGTTGACTTGACTCACAGTCATTTCAAGGTATTTTGTAAATTTTATTATTTTGCCTAACTGGATCAACATGCATTGTCCTTTAACCTACACAGCTTGTCTTTCTTGAATGAGTCTGCAGAAGGGTTTGAATCCCAGACTAATTCCTATTTTATTGAGAATCCTACATAGGGAAGGTCTCAAATGTCCCCATCCTTATATGGTAAATCTGTAGATGTCTTATATTCTCTCTTATTTATGTGATCATTACTAGTTTCACAATTTTTTATTTTGCTTTTGACCTTTTCTGATCTTCTTAATTTGACACCTACCAGCTACTCTTCTTCTATCTGTTTCATTTCATCGTTTAGGCCTTTTTTGTGCTACTTAGTGCTATTTCGCTGATGATGAATGACAGTTTCATGCACAATGGTTGTGTTTGGAGCTGTTGCCCTACTTAAACGGCTTATTTCAGTGCTAAATCCATGCGTTTTTCTTAACGAATTTATCTGGATAACCATTTTAATAAGTAACTCTTCGATAATCTTGAGCTCTTCACAATTGAGAGAGTCGTTCGACCAGACGCTCTACCGAGTTCCGTTTATATGGGTGAATGTACTAAATGGTCGATGTAATTTCCCTATAAAAACAATCCTTCTTAGTGTACTGTCATCCTCTCTCTTAGTCAAAGAGACCTTCAGGAATGAAATATTATTATGTCTTTCCTTCTCCGAAAAAAAGTCTATTGCTGGAGGTACAACAACACACGTTTTGAGCACAATTTATGATTGCTCATTGTCATCATATCACAAGGCATTACTCTCACACAATTTTCTCACTTCATTTACTATAACATGAGTAAAAATTGATGCAATTAGACATTTGATGAATAAAATCAATATAAGACATGCGTGATACAGAATGGAAGATAAAGTACATTCGGAACCCTTATTAGAGTGTTATCAATAACAGACAATAGGCTGGGAAATAAGACGAGTGTTGTTAGTCAGTACGATAGGAAATAAGATATTTTTTTAGTAAAATAAATATTAGAATGTTATAATGTGAATTGAATTGAATACATTTTAACATTTAATAGTATTAGATGATAGTTGGAGGCAATCGGCCACAGGAAGCCTCGCTTCACCTCGGTTTTGTGCTAGTTGGCACTCCCCAGTCAAGCAAGGCGTATCTGCAACCACATTGAAGGAACTCATGTCCCTTCTGAGGTTCGAACCCGCGTCACCCAGTGAGAGCTGCAATCAGAGACGTTACCACTGAGCTATTCGGGCTAGCGATTAACTAGAAGCATCACACTAGTTACTAGTGTCGAATATCCACTACAGTCCTACAGGAGGTCAATCGCGAGCCTGAAGAGCTAAGTGGTAACGTCTCTGACTGCAGCTGGAACTGTGTGACGCGGGTTCGAATCTCAGAAGGGACATGAGTTCCTTCAATGTGGTTGCAGATACGCCTTGCTTGACTGGTGAGTGCCAACTAGCACGAAACCTAGGTGATGTCCAAGGCTTCCTGTGGCCGATTGCCTCCAACTATCATCTAATACCATCAAATCAATGTGTGCCGTCATGGCGAGCTACCTAGTGGCATGGTGGTCACATTACAACCTGACTGATAGAATTCAGTCTACACCAAAGAAAGGACTAGATACATCACACTACCACCAACACTTGAATATATGTTCCATATCTCTGGTATTTGCATTGAGTCATTTCTGTTGTATATGGTTTGTTAGGTGTGTAGACTCGATGAACCAGGCAGGATTCAGTAACCAATCTCTCTCTCTCTCCATCTACTTATATAATTTTTTAGAATTTGGACACTCCCACCCCATTTTGTAGTTGTGTTTCAAGGCATGCAGTGTGTTGTTGGTGTGCTGTTTTCTGAATTACTTATCTTCTTGAGGTCAACCATTCTTACCTTTGCTAAATTCATACACACTGTACACTTTGTAAACATTGTCTACAATCAAAACTGTGTAATTATTATCATTATTATGGTTGACAATATATTTGAAGAGTAATTTTTATTGACTACATCAATATCCAGTTGTCAAAGATCAGTAGAATTACAGTCACAAGCAACTTTTGCCAAACATAAGATCAGAGTATAATTAATTGGTGGATGGTGGGGGTGACTAGCAGTGTAATCCAGGGTAACGCGCATTTTTTCTCCTATTTTGAGAGTTGTCTGCCAGCTAGATGTGCATTCTGCAGTGATTGGTGGTGCTCCGACCAAGGCTGGAACCCAGTGCCCACAGTTTCAAACGTCAAAATCGAATTACATAATTAATATTACGTGTTACTCATGAGGGGGGCGTGTGGCTCTCGTGGCCCAATCGGTCCTGTGGATGACACTTTGGCGTTTGAACCTATGGCCACTTGGTTTGAGCCTCAGTGGGAACATCATCACTCACTGGGAAATGCAGGTACATCCAGGTGATGAATCCGGAATAGGACGAAATACGCGTTATCCTTGATTCCATGAATCAATAGACACATCGAGATAGACAAAATTTATCAACGGAAAAGAAAGAAACCTCACACACACACAAAGGGTCAAATTTCAAGTCAAAGAAACAATCAGTTCCAATAGAAGTAGCCTAAAAGGTATGAAAACACACCAAAATAACCAATCTCGTCCAACGTCACCGACCAGCAGAGATGATTAATATACTCGTGGAGAAATTTAAAAGTTCACTTCAATTCGAATTGAAGTATGGGCGCTGAAGATGTCGCCTGGTTGGGGGGCGATGAAAGCTTCCTGAACACAACCACATCAAAATGTGATGATATATCTGCTTTGTCTCTGCTTCAAGAAATCCATAATATCTAGTTGAAAGTCTATTGTTAGATGTTCAGAAGTACATTTTGAAAACCAAAGACATAAGTGAAGAACAGTTATCTCATGGATTGCAATATGTTGCCAGCCACAATCAGACCATTCTTCAAGATTAGTAGGAATTTGCGAATTAGACAGGAGCTTGTAAACACTTTAAATATGACCTATTAGAGGTCATATCTCAATCGACTAAAACAAACTGAACGAGTGGGAAAATGTATACAATAGAGAGAGAGAGAAGGAAGTTTTGGGTTATCCAGGCTCTCTCCACCTGATCAGTTGTGGTGACATATATATATATATAAGTAGGACCGACAAAATGTTCTAACATCCTCATTGGAAAGAACGTGTTCCCAAAGGGTTATTATTAAATCAAATAGAAGATCAAAATGTAATTATTATTATTATTGTTCCCTTGGATTCGTAGTGGAACACAGAGCTTCAACTTCACGTCTCCACTTGCTACTGTCTTCTGCTGTACTTTTCACCTGAATCCATGTTAGTCCATACTGTTTCAACTCCTCTTCACACGATCTCCTCCATGTCCTCCTCACAGTTACGTCCCACTCGCCGCTTCCCTTTCCACCTGGTTCCACTCGAGCACTGGCCTGTCACCCAGCGGCGGCCTCCTCACCGAGCGAGTGTCCAATCCATTCATCTCCACTTTCTCCTGCTTATTTGTTGGTTGGCGATTGGTTCTTCTTTTGTTTGTTTGCTCCCACAGTTTGTTCTTGTTGGTGATTCTTTCCGGCCCGCCCATATGATTGATCTTCAGTATAGAGCCAGCGAAGACAGTTGTTGTTGATGATGAAGGTCTGCAACAGGCTGCTGGAAATATTCTTTGTGACCCGCCCCTCCCGCCAAGTTTCTGATCCGTTCCGTATAGAAGAACTGGCTGACTTGACGTTTGTATTGGAAATCCGATGGAATTTTGTTGTTGATGGTGGCTGAGTGACGAAGATTTCCAGATTGGTTTGTTTCAGGTTGATGAATGTGTTTCTCGCCTGCCTTCCTGGTTCTCGCTCGATTTGACATCCTCGTCTGTTCCGACTGGCTGTAGTTGAGACAATGCTCCCTAATTAAGATAAGTGAATGACGTGACCTCTTTCAAATCCCTCCCATTGATGGTGGGTGACTGGCGGTGGATGTTGCTGTTGTTGGCTGGTTATTTCCATAACCTAAAATGTACTTAAGTTGAAAAAAAAATCCGTGGAATTCATGGTGCATTTTTCATCAATCAAACCGCTGTTTATATTAGTACAGTTTATATTCGTTAAGTAATCACTGAGGGTGTTATTTCGGTTTACATCAAACAGCAAGAAGTAGATAGTTCAATTATACATATGTGTAGTGTTCTGTTCTTAATGCAGTCAGTATACAACCGTGGGAAATGTTTTCTGTCTCTAACATCAAATAGAATGTTCAAACAGATATGTATTGTATGCAGTGATGAACTAGTGGCATGGTGATCACATTACAACCTGACTGATAGAATTCGGTCTACACCAATCAGAGGACTGGAAGCATCACACTAGTTACTAGTGTCGAACATTTTATCTTATTTATCATCCTGTGATTTGACTAGTGGTAATAATGTCTTCCATATCTTTGGTATTAGCAATCATGAGTCACTTTTATTGTATGTATTGTGGTTAGGTATGTTGACTAGATGAACTGTCAGTACCTTGTATTCATTCTTCTCTACCATCACATGTGTACAAACTTAAACTACTGTAATCTTCATATAAATCATCACAAACAAACACATCGATAATTAGGGAGGGAATAATTGAAAACTGTTCAGGGAGTACTGGACAATTGTTCCGTCATAGTTTACAACTGTCCAACAATGTGTACCCGTAACATAATTCCCACGACGGACTAATCCCAAGACCTTGAGAAGGATCATGAGGCCAAGTCCTTTTGATCATTCAGTGACTTGGAAAAGGTTTCGATCATGCGTGAACTATAAACTTTATTAACACACTAGATATATCAAGGGGAAGTGGATGTTCAATATATCCTTCTTCGTGGTTGCCAGTAGAGCTACATCAAGCATTGACAAAGTTAGAATTTACGAGTGAGTGAACTGTGAACGAGTTTGGCTGCATACTTACGGAAAGTTACTGATTCAAAACAGTGGTTGGTGGAGTCTTGACTGAGCGCTACTGATGAAGAGAGTCCTAAACCAGGACAAAACAGTTGTGTGATATTGCTTTGCGATAAAATCTCCATTGAAACGCACTTAGTCCGGCGTTTGATTCCAGACCTATGCACTATTACTTAGTCTCGCTTAGCCATGAGATAAGCGAAGTAAATAGAGGAGATTGGCGGCCGTGGAGCCTGTTACGTTCAACTCGAACAACGTAGAAGATCAAAATAATGGTAATAATAATAATACTTACGGTAATACAGACCAATTCGGTTGTAGAAGATTACCAATGCGTATAGTTTTGATAGACTTTAAGGCAATCCGATTGGCTGTACATTCTTCATTGATAAAATTAAAATTAATAAGCATGAGGTAATTGTCTGTCAGGCAGACAGTAGTCTCAATTTCATGATCCCAATGATTAATTCTACAAAAAGAGAAGAAAGGGAAACCAGTTAGAAAACCGGGACGGGAGAGGGGGTTGGTGGTGAAGGGACGAAGAAATGATGTCGTAACAACAGAAGACAAGGGTCAGGCAACAAATCCTTTTTATTAAGGAAATCAACACAGATATTTATTGATTTTTTATGTATATTTTAGAGATTATTATTAGCAGAAAAACACCGTCCTCTGATTGGTGGTTGTTTCTCACTGAAAGTTAATGTTTCACATCTTTGTGGCTGTTTCTTGAATGTCAGATCACCTATATATGTTAACTGTATCCACCTACGCAAAGGCTTTGTTCTCATTTTTCTCACGACAAATGCTGGGGATATAAACATTATTGACGTAAATCACTGTCTACCAATTTTGACTAACAGCCAGCTCTCACCACAACAACTACTACTAGTATTAATGGTTGCTCTGTCTATCTGTCTATTTTCGACATAGAACTTTGCACATGTGCGCCAGTTCAAGTCACCACACTCCCTCCATGTAGCACACAAAGCAACAGAAGAAAGTACAAGAAAAAGCATAATACAGACAGTAAGCAGAGGTGTGAGACAAAGGAAGAGTAATAACGAAGAACAATATAGTTTCATTGGAAATCATAAGTCACAAGGAGTGGATGCATCTTCACCAGCCATGGACAACGAGGATTTTGAGCCATGTCACCAATTGTTTCCAGCCTTCATTGGTTTTCACCGTCCCGAGGACCCCAACCAGTCAGGAAGCCCGTCTACACCTTCCTACGTGGCTGGCTGGCTTAGACTAACTGTTGTAGATTTCATTGACTGGTGAAGCCATGTTTTTGTCTGACCTCCGGTGGCTATTTTCCAGCCTGACCCTATATCAGCTAACATTGCTCGTCAAGGAAGGCGATGAGAAGGCATACGTAACACATATCCTAACCATCTCAATATGTGTAACTTCACAACTTCGTCGATTGATTTCCCCTGTTTACTTATTTTATTTTATTTTTGATTTACAGCTTGATTCCACACGGTATTTTTGGTACAAGTATGGAATTTTCAGGATGGATATCGGTAGCCGAAATTTCGCGGGCCAGCCATAGATATCAGGTGTGGTTCGGTAGGGTATCGAAACTCGGACCATTTGCATGGTCGGCGAGAGTCCTAACCACTAAGCCACCGACGCTCAGAGAACTCGACCGAGGTCTAATCTCAATATTGCTCACCTTATTATGCCACTTCACACGGGAGATAGAACGCAAGCACCTATGATCAAAGACATCTAATCTTTTCATGTCTTCCACTCTCGGTCTCTAAAGCTGTCACTAATGGTGGATAGAATCAAACTAATGCCAATATACAACAAGAGTGGACAAGAGGATGAGAAAATCTCTGAAAATAACCGACCACGTTCTTGGGTGGTTACAAGAGGAGATAGGACTGACAAACGTGTCCAAATGCAGACATACTGCACAAGTATAATCGGAATGACGCAAAACGCCTATATCCTGGTGATATGGAAAGTAGCCACCAACAATAAGGCCGATTTTAGTCTGTGAAATTCGGTGACAACGATGTCGTAACACACACACACACACAAGTGATTTGTGCATTACACCTAGACAACATTGACTAGAAAACACTCATAACTAGCCAAGTAGCAAGCAATTAGACAGATTAGACAGGGTAGATAGAGACTTTCTCAATCATAACTTTATGATAGTATATGAGCAATGTACAGAGATACAGAACAGCACACACGTGTGTGTGTCAGTTGTGTATATTACAAACTGGTTGTAAATGTGGGTTATTATTATTATTACTATTAAGGTGTGTTAATTTCTTACCTATAATATATCTTAGGCAGACAAACATTATTAAATTTAGGCCAATAAAACATAAACACACACATACTAATAAATAATCAGACAATCAATTAATGAACTCCTTACGTCACCATATATTCAGTATGGCATTATATTCTCTGAGCTGGAAAGGGTTTAGTAGTAGTCATGAGACTTTCGCTCTCCTCCTACGTAAGTGTAACATGTACAGCGTATACTTCAGTTTGAAGTGAGCTATCATGCTGCGCTATGAGTTCACTAACCATCTCTCTTGATGGTAACCTTGAATGTGATCAGTGTTTTCCAAAGATTTTCTCATCTTCTGGTCGATTTTGCTGATCTGAAAGTTAACCCTTTGTCGAAGTAGTGACTGCCTTTTGCATTGGTCGATTAGCTCTGATCATTGAACATCTGGTCGATAATGATCACCTTATCATCTTCTCTATAGCTTCCGCCTTTATAAAGTCATATCTACAAGGCAAAGAGTAATTTACCCAAATCCCTACGTACCCGATTCATCTGTTGTATTGCTGAAGCCATCTTTTTAGCTATCGAAACAGAAAAGCCAGATAGATCTCTTTGTACAGAAAAAAGTTCGTTCAACCCCTCCCCTCCCCTCCAACTTTCATGGTCTTAATCCCTCTATGCTAAAGTATGGTAATCCCGATTTTTCATTTTGTCTATTCAAGTTGTATACTCTTCCTTTATTACGTCAGTTGTTATTACTACTATTCTCACTTTGAACTGTCCCCGGTATTATTATTTCACTTGTTCCGCTTGTCGTTCTAAATCAATCCTCTTTTTTAAAACGTTAAATTCTATGCTATTAAATTTCACACAATATTACGTAACGTTTTTGTTCTATTCGATTTGTCTACTAATCCAATAACTGCACACCCTTTTTCAAGTTCTATCCATCCTATGAATTATTCTATATACATGACATTAATTTGCTTTTCCACTTGACATTTAACTATGATTATAATCACAATAATTTTAGTTTTTAATTGCATTTCATACTACTATTTATTTTTATTTATTTTACGCATTCACACCTATGATTCAATTCCCTCACCGGAAATAACTTCTTAAAAACCATATCTATCCGATTGTACAGCTTGATGATAAATTCCTTGTTGAAAAGAGTCTCTTCGCTGAATCACCACTTGTTTTGATTTTCTATGGAGATATACCTTTGAATGTATCTATTGATTGCAGATTCGACTGTGTACACCAGACGCTTCATGGAAATTCCTTGGCAATCTCGGCGTCTCACTTGTTTAAGATATGTATCTCTTCTTCTAGCCGAATTGCCTGCATGTATACTTGTAACGACAGAAGACAAGGGCGCCAGTGCAGCAGATCGTTTATTGAGAAAATCAACAGATATTTATAGACTTTAATGTACATTATTATCAGCAGAAGAACACCTTCTTCTTATTGGTTTTCCTTGCTGAAGGTTATTCTGTCATCCCCTTGTGGCCATTTCTTAGCAAGTTAAACCATGCATATCTGAGAATAGTATTTGCACACGTTAATTCTGTTGTGATTGGTTGGTGAGTTCCTCAAGGCTAAGCTTTGTTATTGTTTTTTTTCTCGTGACTCCGATTCCGGACGTAAACATTGACGTAAATTGCTGTCTCCCGATTTTGGCTAGCAGACAGCTCTCACCACATACTGACGTGGAGGAATTGAATATTATGTCTCTTCTAATAGTCATATCGATGATGTTCGATGATGCGAAGACGAGGAGAGAAGGATAGAGTGAGGGCGTCATGCGATATGAAACCACAGGGAATGAAAACAAGTTTGGAGAATAGTATTTACGGCCCACCATCGACAGTTTTCATCTGTACGAAAAATACATGGATGATACTTTCATCATATTTGACGACAATACCGACATCGAATTGATAACTAAGGAGTTCAACAGCTGCCATCGTGCCATCAAGTTCACGTCGGAATCAGAGATTAACTCGGAATTCCATTTCTTGGATGTTTTTCTAAAGAGGAGATCTGATGGTTCTCTTCAAAGATCGATCTACAGGAAACCAACATGGAATGGTCAGTACACAAATTTCCATAGCTGGGTCTTTTTAAGAAGAAAGAAAAATCTGATCCATTCTTTATCTTCAAGAATAAGGAGGATATGTTCAAGTAATACAACCGATGGGGAACTGGAGCGACTCAGACAAGTTCTCATAGAGAATAGATACCCTCCAAGATTTATTGAGAAAAACATGAAGTTAAAGGGAAAAGCCTGAAAGAATCCAGACGGTGCCGAAAAAACTTCTGTTTATGAGTAATGAATTCAAAGGTGATACCGCAGCTGAGATCCTGAAGAATCGCTTATGCAGATCACTGAGGAAAGCCTTCTTTATGGCTGAGCTACGTATCCATTTCTATAGCTGACAAATGATCAACGGATGTGTGAAGGATAAACTGCCGCTGTGGGCCACCTCCATGTGTGTTTATAATTTCACCTGCTCGTGTGGAGCTAGTTATATTGGCCGCACAAAGCGCACGCTTTCCAAACGCAACTCTGAACATTATCCGGCATAGTTAACAAAGGGACAATGTAAGACAATTACGAGCTCAATTCTCGAGCATTTAGTGAACTCAGGCCACGTAGCTCCACCAGAGTCATCTTTCAAGATCATCTACAAAGTGAAGCCAAATGGTACAAAGCGCGTCCGGTTTCGGTTTTTATGTATGGCGGAGGCGCTGGCAATTCATCAATACAACGCCGAACTCTGCATACAGAAAACGTTTGTCCAGTCTCTTATTCTACCTTGGGGTCGTAACCTCTTCACTAATCGTTCCCTGTAAACAATTTTTGATTTTTTCTTTTGTTCTTAATTTTACTTTTAGTCTGCTTAATTAATTAATTCACTATTATCAATTGCATATGCTCCTTCTGTACATTTTCACACCCTCTTCACACTTGTTAAATTGCCTCTTAAATATCTTTATTCCCACTCAAGAGCAATTTTAACCTTATCAAATTTCTATCTTTGTCCCGTTGAGTACCACGTAATTTACAACTTTTAATTTTCACTTCTAAAGCCACTTGTGATTAATTATATCAATTATGTCACCCCCCGATTACTCAATAATAGACCACTATACATTTTTCTTAGTATAAATACGACTGTTCAGTCAGCCTCTGA